TAACATTTTCTGATTATTTTTTTATTTTTATTATATTTTCGAGTTGTGTCTTTTTTTCAATTTGTTGATTGCTTTTATTTCTACACTTATGTTGTTAATTTTTTATATTTTTAATTTTTGTTTTATTTAATTTTTCAAACAATAAAAAATTAATTTTGGTAACATTCCATACTAGGGATGGATCCTTCCTTATTTTAGAATGCGGAAGGTTGAAGAGAAGTGAAGAAAGAAAATAATGAAATGGAAGAGCCAAAAAACATTATTCTGCGTAGGGCGGAAGAAATCCTATCCATATTCCATACCTTAATTTCTATCTCATAAAACTTGCTGTAAAAATAATAGAAAATCTTCTTAGAGTCAAATCTCGATTTTACAAAAGGTTCTAACAAAATACATGTTTAAAAACGAGGGGTGCCTATAAAAGTTTGGGATATTCAAAACACGAGGTTCTGACAATTCCTTATTTCTTTTTTAATTTTTCTTGCAAATTTAATTTTTTTATCTAGTACCTATTTAATTTACTATTTTTTCTTTTCTTTCAATTTAATATAAAAAAGGCAATAAAAACTCTACTAAAAATATTTTTCAATTTATTTTTATAAATTTACTGAATGAAAAAAATTGAAAGCTTAACATTCCTAAATTTTTATTTTATTGAGAGAAAGAAAAAGAGAGGAGAGTTCTCTCTCTCTTTATTTAATTCCCCAAATTTCTTCTCAAATTTCAAAGCAAAAAAAATAAAAAGTTTTAAATAGTAATAGTTTGAAGAATTTTGATGATTGACCAACTCAAATTTCTTAAAGAAAAAAATAATAAATTTAATTTTAAAAATAAGAAAAAATTGAAAATAAATAAATTTTAAATTTTAAAATTATTAAAAAAATTTTAGACCGAAATTTTGTTTTTTTTCATGTTGCGAGAGCACCCTGTAAATAGTATTACCCCGAAATATCTTCTTTTATTTATCCGAAATATTTATCCAAATAATAACCCTTTCAGAATTATTAAATTAGAATCAGAATTTTATTTTTTTTATTTTTCCGGATTGCAAAATTAATTTATATAAAACTTCCCGGAAAATACATAATTCAGAATTATCATGAAAATAGAACTTCAATACAAATCAGAATTAAATTATAAATTAATTCTGAATTAATAAAACAGAATTTATTCAGAACAGAATTTAATTTAATTATCAGAACAAAATTAATTTAAATATCAGAATTTAAATCAGAATTACATTAACACTTTATGTGATACAATTATACATAAAATTAATAATATAATTTATATTTAATTCTCCTATATTTTTTTATTTTTTCGAAATTTAGAAAAATATTTTTTTATTTTATTTTATTCTTTCCCACGTATTTTTTTTGTCATTTTTATTATTTAAAAAATTTCGTGCAAAATATTTTTATGAATTTATTATTCAGAACAAGGTTATGTGTGTTTGTGTGGGGAGAGGGTAGAAGAATAACAAAAAAAAGCGTAGGTGGATGAACCAAAAATTTAAAAATTTTTTTAAATTGTTATATAACACTATTGGGAATATTTTTACAAAATTTTGCAATTTTATCTTCCTTTTTTGATAATTTTTAACCCCGCGCGCCGTTGCGTTTCCGCGCCGAAACGTGCCTTTATTTTCATTTATTGATAAAATTATTTTTATATTTTTTTGTCTTCTTCCCTAACTTTACTCATAATAAATAAATAAATAATTTTTTTCTAGAAAAAGACACGTCGACGCTTCTAAAAAGCCCACACATTACTAATACTACATAAAAATTTGTTTAATAATTTTATAAAAAAAAGTTTTCTTCCCTTAAAAAATAATATATTTTTCTAAAAATTAATTTTTTTGTTTAAAAAACAGCGAAAATTAAAAAATAAAATTTTTATTTTTGTAATATTGGCCTAAATTTATTTTTTTAAATAAACAACAATAAAATTATTTTTGTTAAATTATTAAATTAAACGAAGACAAAAAATCAAAGCTTTAAAAAGAATTTATTTAATAGGTAAATAATTTAAAGAATATTTTTTGGAAGATCCTGGAGGGGAGGGAAAGAGTAGGATCGTCACTTAAGCTTTTAGGATCTCGAATGGGCCACCAACTTAGCACTAGCCTGCTCTGCTGACTATAATTTTTATTCTTGATCTAATCCGAATAAATTTTACTATATCATCCAAAATCCTCAATAAGCGGTATATATTTTCTAACTGGATGAATCAAGTATGATCGCTTAGAAAAATTACAACACTATTAGTTCAATTATTGTGTGTTTTTCACATTCAGAAATGATTAAATAATAATTAAGCAGACTTGATCCATCCAATAGGTAAAATTACATATACAGTTTATCGAGGGTTTTCGATTGATATAAAATTTATTCGGATTGAATCAAGACAAAAAATTTAGCGATATAAACTGTCTGCTAAGCGCTCACTAATTAATCCAAACTTTAATTTTACCTTTTTTAATCTCGGTCTTTTTTTATATTTTCTAAAATAAAAATAAATTTTATTCAGAGAAACAACTTTTAACAAAAATAATTTTTGTGTGCCTACTTGCTCATTTAAAAATTTAATTTTTTTCCTTCTTCGATTTTCAAGCAATTAAATATTTAATTTAATTAAAAATGGGTTTAAAAGGTTCTAAACCAAAATTAAGCAAAGAAGATTTGGAATTTTTAAAGAAAAATACAAATTTTACTGAAGAACAAATTAAGGAATGGTATAAAGGATTTGTGGTAAATTAATTAATTTAGAAAGGAAATTAAGAGAAAAAATTAAAAAATTAAAGAAAAAATTTTTTAAACTCTCAAAAATAATTTAAAAAATTTTTAATGCCTAGAAAATCAAAATATATTTTCAAAAAAATTTTTCGGAGAATTATCATTTCCGTGAATTGCTATAATTGTAAAAATATTCTGGTATAACTCTGAAATTATTATGATAGTTTCCGGAAAATATACTAATAAATATCTTTTTATTATAACTGTAAATGTTTCCGGAAAATGCATGTAATATTTTTCGGAAAATATAAATTTTTAATAAAATCTGGAAAATATTTTTTAATACATATTTAATTAAAATAAAATTTAAAAATTATTTTTATTTATAGCAAGACTGTCCAAAAGGTCATTTGACAAAAGAACAATTTATTAAAGTTTATAAGGTAAAACTTACTTGTTTTAAACATCTCAAAAAAATTAATTTTTTAGGATTTTTTCCCTTCTGGATCAGCAGAAGGGTTTTGTGAACATGTTTTCCGTACTTTCGATACAGACAATTCTGGTTTTATTGATTTTAAAGAATTTTTATTAGCTATAAATGTTACTTCTTCTGGTACTCCCGAACAGAAATTGGAATGGGCATTTAGGGTAATTTTTATTTAAATACCTAATTGTGTTCTCCGGGTTTTGTCCTGTTAAATAAAGTGTTTTATTTTCTGTATCTTTTCCGGAAATTGTCTATTAGGTATATGTATTTATTCTGGTATAACTCTGAAAATACCCAGGAAATATTTTCCGGAAATATTCCAAAAACATTCCGAAAGCATAGATATGTACGTATTAAATTTTCCGGATATTTTGTTCTATTAAAAACTGTAATTATTTTTTTTTCGCAAAAATAATATTGTAGAACTCTAAAAACTTTTATTTATTCTTGTATAACTATGGAAATATTATCTTTCCGGAATTTCTACATAGATTTGCTATAATTTTTCTAGTTATGTTTTTCACGGAAAATACATTATACGGAAATATTATGCTTTCCGGAAATTATATATGTATCATCTATTTTCCGTAAACTTGTTATCCGGAAATATATGTTTCTGTTATATAAAGTCTGTTCCGGAAATATATACCTAATAATATCATCTATTATCCGGGAGTGTCTATTAACCGGAAATATTCTATAAACTATCTTCTATTTTTATAAATATTGGGGAAATATACATACAATCTATTTACAATATTTTCCGGAAAATACACATTTTTTGAAACTGTTGAAACAACCTTTAAAAAATAATTTTGATTTATATTTTCTGCAATTTTTTATTTACAGATGTATGATATTGACGGAAATGGAACAATAGATGAAAAAGAGATGATTAAAATAATTGAAGTATTAACTATTTAAAATATTTTTTTAATTTAATTTAAAAATTTTAAAGGCAATTTATGAAATGCTTGGCCCAGAAGTAACAAAATCAGCTGACGATTCTCCACGAAAAAGGGCAAAAATGATTTTCGAGAAAATGGATATAAATAATGATAAGGAGTTGACTTTAAAAGAATTTGTAGATGGTTGTTTAGCTGATAAAGAACTTTTCCAGGTTAAAAGAAGTTTTTATAAGCAGTAAACTATATTGGACTGAAACTTGTGTGAGAGAGTCTAGGCAAGATACCCTGTATTTAAGGAACACTTTATTATAAGATAAAGTCAAAACCATTAATTTTTCATTGGACTCATAAAAGACCTCTCTGTGTCCCAACTTATAATTAATGGACATTTTCTAGTTTGGGTGCTCATTGGATAGGGTATAAGAGATACCCTTTATTTAATAAACACTCTTTTATAAGATATACCTAATTAAAAAATTTTTTCAATTAGATATTAACAAATGAAGTGAAAAAATAACAACAAACAGCAACAACAACAATGTTTTAGCAACAAAAAAAATAAAAAAATCATTCCATCTTAAATAAAATAAAAGACGAGTTAAGTATATTTTTTCTTCTCGCCTCTCTCAAAAAATTTTTTTCAAAAAAAAAGATATGCAAAAAATTAAAAAAATATTTTGCCGAATAAAAAAAATAAAAGGGCCAAAATGCCTTCCTTCCTTCTCTTCTAATCAAAAATCCAAATAAATAATAAATTTATTTTTTTTTCTCCAATTATTTTTTGTGTGTTTATATAAAATATATTTACTACACAATTTGCCATTCACTTATAATTGAAATTAAAAGGATAAAATTTTCTAAAGAAAATTTAGCATTAAACAGAATGGTTTATGTGGGGGTATTTCAGTAATGGGCATTATGTCTAATGGGCATTTAGTCGTATATACATTTTGTCGGATGGGCATTTTGTCGTATCGGTATTTTGTCGGGTGGGCATTTTGTATTTTTGCCATTTTGTCTTGTAGGCATTTTGACGACATTTTAAGACTCATGAATTTTTCGTTGGATCATTCCGTGTTTCCAAACAGGTGAAAAGGGAAAATTTTATCCTTCACATATTCTTTAATTTTGGTTCTAGAAAAATGAAATGTTTCCATTCATTAATATTTTAAGCATGATTTTCAATTCTATATGTAAATATTAAATACTAAAAGTCGTCAGGTTTCGAAGCAATGAATTTTTGTGTTTTTTAAAGACACGAATATTTTATAAAATTATTCTTGATTTTCTGTTAGCCAAATTTTATAAAGTATTTCCAAAATAAAAATGCCAAAATTTTAAAACGTCCATTTAAAAAGTTTAAAAAATTATTTTTGGGTTCTTAAAAATATTTTGGCTATTCAGAAGATTATCCCTAATTGTTTTTTGCTTTATTTTTTATTTAAAAGTCCCTCATTTTTACATTTAATCAATATTAAATATTTGTTTAGTTTTATGTATTTTCTTAAAACAATTTTTTAATTTTGTTTTTTTATAATTAATTGTCATATAAAAATTTTTGAATTAAATTTAGTAATAAATGTATTTATACAAAGGACATTTCGAGGAATGGACATTTCGCAAAATTGATATTTTGTCGAATGGGCATTTCGAAGAATGGAAATGTTTATTTAAATTAAATCAAAAAATTCAATTTTCAGTTGAAAAAAGTTTTAAGAGGTTTTAAGAAAAAATTAAAATAAATAAATACACACAATTCATTTCTTAACTCGCGGCTTCATTTCCTCATTACAGGCATGCAAATAAATTTTAGTAACATTCGTTGGATAGCTGTACTCTGAGCCCTAAAATTTAAATAAAATTATTGGAGGCAAAAAATATTGACAACTCATAGGAACGAGTCGAGAAAATCCGAAAGTAAATCGAAAATTTCTCTTGAAAATTTGTATGACTGTAACTTAATGTATTGCAAGGATAGTAGAGTTATTCGAAAATTAGTCTTTTTTGACCAGAAACTCGACCCAAGAAATTTTCGAAACCCCAACAGCCTTTTTTCTCAACCCGACAAGACATTAATAGTCTTCTCCAAACGCAAAATTTTTCAAAAAAAAATATTAAAAATCATCACAAACCTTACTCCAATCGTAACCAATAGAATAAGCCATAATATTTCCTCCTTGGTGTATATGACAAGCAGTTATAGGCATTGCCATAGCGTCAGATCCTTTAAGTTTAGTACGTGCATCTTTATCCCAAAATGAGTAACGTCCATCTGCACCAGCAGTACAAAGTGTTTGGTGGATTGGGTGGAAAGCTACGACATTTACCTTTAAAAGAAATTTTTCAAATAATTGTTTGAATTAAAAATGGTTCTAAAAACTGGTTAAGATTACAAAAAAATCTTTTTGAACGAAATCTTGTCTCATTTCAGTTCGATATCTAACAAGGGAAAGATCTTTTTGCCTATCTTTTTGCAACCCTACAAATCCCTGCTCCTCTCAAGTTAAAACTCAAATTAAGGCCACAATCTAATTTTTTCTAAAAACTGAATTTGTGTATAAAAGATGGGGACACTATCCTTTTCTCAATATTTTATGGAAAAAAAAGGAATTTAAAAATAAATTTCATAAAATTTTTTAAAGTTCAGGGGAAGGTAGATTTACCAAAAAAATAAATTTAAATTAACCGGATAAATTTCCTGGAAGCCATTAATTAATTCTGAAGATCGATGACATTTAAAAGTAAAATTGTCTTTATTGTCCTTTGCATCCAAACATTGAATGGCTACACGACCTAAAATTAAAAAAAAATTTTAATAAATTTAAATTTAAAATAAACCTTCAATAGACCCAAGTGCAAACCCTCCAGGTTGATTATTTATTTTATTTTTAAAAATTGCAATGGAACGGTTCTAAAAAGAAAATTTATAAATAATTTTTTAATTGAGAAAAAACTTGATATTTTAATTGAGATTCAACATCCTGAATTTCTTGTCTAAAAATTAAATATTTAAAAAAAGTCAACTATAAGGTTGTTATAAGCCAACTAGGTATTTTCCTCTTTCCACAAAATTTTAGAAAGACTCAAATCGGGAAATTAGCCTTTAATTTTTGGTTCGATCCCAATTCCCAACTCTTGTGAGGGTATTTTTTACATTCTTATACTTCTCATTTAAATAAACTTCCTATTTAAACCAAACGTTCATTGAGTTTCATTGAAATGGGGTTATGTACTTAATTAATTTAAAATTCTCTAAAAAATATTCCGAAACCGAGAATTGTGGGTACCGGTTGATAACCGCTTGGCAATCAGCCCTAAAATCATCTAAAGAAAAATAAAATTTCCCCAGAAATCCAAAACTTTTTAAAATTAAAAAATAAACAAACGGTTGTCCTTCCAAATTATATGATTTTATGTGTCGATTAGCCATTCCAACAACTGCTAAAGGATATATCATGTCAGAGCACCAAACACGTTCAGGTAAATTAATTGTTGCAAGTGAAGAAACTGTTGGTAATTGACGCATATCCCAAAAACGTAATGAACGATCCCATGAACCAGTCATTAAACACTGGGAAAAATTTAAAAAATAATTTTTATTAAAAATATATAGTCTGAACCAAGGCTGGGGTTTTCCTGTACCCAGAGTCCAGGCACGTTTTGACCTTATGGGTTTTTCCTAGACTACAGGCCCAGGATCCAGCCCAGATCAATAAATCAAACCCCAGCGTTCAGGAACAGCCCTAGGCTTTTCAAAAATCTCGATTTCTAGTGGATTCTACCCTCGATTTAGGTAATACAACACAAAACAAACAAAGAACACGGCCAGTCTATTATACAACAAAGACCTGATTGAGCCTCTATCTAAACAAACTTATTCATTCTCTAATTAAATATCCCCAAGAAATTTAAAAATCAACCTGATAATTAGAAGCAGTCACCCAATGACAAGATTTAACACAATCATCGTGTTGTCCAACAACAACAACTGAGTTTGATTGTAAATCCCATAAACGAACACTTTTGTCACAACAAGTAATAAATACTTTTGAACTGTCCTAAAAAGTAAAGAAAAATAAAAAAAGAAAATTGAAAAAGGATTAAAATAGATGATACAAAAATTGTCCCAAAAAATAAAAAGAAATAAATTATCAATTTTTTTAAATCAGAAAGACAAAATTCTTGTGGATGAAAATTACGGCAAAACATCGAAAAGAAATATTTAAGAAGGAATAGTCGTTAAAGCTTGCATTTGTGGACAGATCCTTCCCCCAAAAATGAAAAACATTTAAAAAAATAAAATTCCAAAAAAAATAAAAAAAAATCCGCAAATAATTTGCGGACAACACCCAAAAATTTTTCCAAAAATTAAAAAAATTCAAAACCTCAAACCAATCCACAGAAAGTACAGGAGCCCCCAAATCCTGCATAGCTTTAGGTTCACTTTGTCCATTCTCATTAATTTCCCAAATTCGGCAAGTATTGTCCCACGATCCAGCAGCAAGAAATATTGGAGTGTTGGCTGCAGCAGGATTAAATTTTAATGCTTGAACGGTGTCACTCGAAACTTGTTGTAACTTTAAAAATTTTTTTAATTAAATAAATTCAAAAAACCTCAATATCTCCTTGGGGAACAGTCGAAGCTGTTGGCTGAATTAATAAATTATTATTACTTTTTAATTTTTTAGAGTAATTAAAGTCAATATCAATCATTCGTTGTTTTTTCATTTTAAAAGGTCTTTTAAATAAAAAATTGAAAAATTCAAAATGCCTGGGGAACCTCGGTGTTATTTTAATTTGTGAAAAAATTTATTGGAAAGAAGAGGGAATAGAGCATCATGAACACAAAAGAAAAAAAAATCTCAAAAATTTTCTAAAAAATTCGCAAAATAATTTGCGGACAACCGCTTTAAAAATGCGGACAAAAATACATATTTGTAGACAACCCTAATTAAATCTTTTCTGCAAATACAGAAACAACATTTGGATAGCTAAAGTATTTATGCAAAATCTAATTCAGAAACCCTTAGAAACTACACAAAATTTAAACATTAATAGCTATAGTATGATTAAAGAAACCTATTGAGCTTAGGCCCCATCCCATCACCCTAAGGTTTTAGGGAAGCCAAGTCTTTTCTTAATGATTTGACAAAAAGAGAAACCTTTTAAAAAAGGAAAACTAAAAACAATTTTACCCAAAAATTCAAAACAACAGAATATCAATTTAAAAAAGACCCAAAACCAATTCAAAAATTGATTCATAAAAAATGAACCAAACCGTAAAACACAAAAATAGAGATTTTAAAAAATCAATAACTCCTTCACACCCCCGGGCCAAAAGGTACATTTAAATTCAAATATTCAAAATAATTTAAAAAACCTGTTGAGTTGTTGTCCCTCCAAAAAGTCCACCAGGTTTAGCCCCAAAAGGTGAAGAACTTGTCGAAGTCCCAGTACTTCCAAAAAGGCTCATTTCTTGAATAATTATTTTTAAAAATATTAATTGAAAAAAAGTATTTCAAATGTAAATAATAACAAATTATTCAAAAAAAAACGAAATTTAACTAAATATATTTATTAAAAATTTTAAAAAGTTTAAAGGCTGAAAAACATTTGCGGACAACAATTGAAGTTTATTAATAACAAAAAAAGGTTATATCAATAATAGGGTCCAGATTTTTTGAGGGTTTCCTGAATTTATATGCTGATGTGAGAATCTATCTTTTGAGAGTTGAAAAAATATTTTTAATTGCAAATCACAAATGTTTCCAAGTGCTCGAGGGTAAGGCTGTCATGTTTGTGGACAAAATAATTTATAACCTGAAAAGGAGCCAATGGCGAGGGGGGTTGTGATTGTGAATAAAAACGGATTTGCGCGAACTTATTGTAAGCAAAAATTTACGGGGAATTGAGTTGAGATGGTTTTGTTGATCCTACCCACAATTAATGTAATTTGCCTTTTTAATTTCTTCCTCCAAATAATTAAGTTTCTCATCTTTTCGAACAATTTCATCTATTAATTGTTTAATTTTTTCTTCAATTAAAAGCATCCATTTTTTTATCCATTTCCTTCGATCCATTTTCTAAATTATACAGAAGATATCCACTGAGCTTAGAACTTTGGCCCCAGAAATATTACTACTGCAAACTAACCCTTCTTCAGTTTAAAACCTTCAGTCTAAAAAAATATCAACATCGCGGGGAAATTGTTTAATTAAGGCATTTTTGCGAGGATCACGCCAAATAATCTGTTTTAAGTTTAGAAAATAATTTAAAAAATTTAGAAAATTATAAAAATTAGTTCTAAAATATTGAAGTATTGCTAGAATTTCGGTCTCAAACAAAACGATTGTAAGGATAACACTGATGAAGTAGGCTGTTCATCAATTCAAACTTTGACTCTAACAAAGAATATACTTGTCCTGAAAGTCCGACACGTTGCATCAATCTAGTGAACCTATGTAGAAACAATGTGGATTGCAAGTAATCTGTTTGTAAAGAGAAAATACGTTTGTTTTTTATGTTTAAAAAATTGTTTAGAGTCACAAGTTTGAATTGATGAACAGCCTACTTCATCAGTGTTATCCTTACAATCGCTTTGTTTGAGACCGAAATTCTAGCAATACTTCAATATTTTAGAACTAATTTTTATAATTTTCTAAATTTTTTAAATTATTTTCTAAACTTAAAACAGATTATTTGGCGTGATCCTCGCAAAAATGCCTTAATTAAACAATTTCCCCGCGATGTTGATATTTTTTTAGACTGAAGGTTTTAAACTGAAGAAGGGTTAGTTTGCAGTAGTAATATTTCTGGGGCCAAAGTTCTAAGCTCAGTGGATATCTTCTGTATAATTTAGAAAATGGATCGAAGGAAATGGATAAAAAAATGGATGCTTTTAATTGAAGAAAAAATTAAACAATTAATAGATGAAATTGTTCGAAAAGATGAGAAACTTAATTATTTGGAGGAAGAAATTAAAAAGGCAAATTACATTAATTGTGGGTAGGATCAACAAAACCATCTCAACTCAATTCCCCGTAAATTTTTGCTTACAATAAGTTCGCGCAAATCCGTTTTTATTCACAATCACAACCCCCTCGCCATTGGCTCCTTTTCAGGTTATAAATTATTTTGTCCACAAACATGACAGCCTTACCCTCGAGCACTTGGAAACATTTGTGATTTGCAATTAAAAATATTTTTTTACTCTTATTGTTAGAAATATTTTTCTTATCTATTTTTTTTGCTATAGTTGTATTTTTTATTCCTATTTTCATACATACCTATTTTAAGAATTTGCGCTACCCTAAAAATCCGGATCCTATTTATTAGATATTAAAATTAAACTATGCCCTAATAATTATTTTAACTAATAAAAGAAGGGGGGAGGGGGTAATTGTCCCAAATTTTTGTCCGCGAATATTACTTTTAAAAATAAATAAAATTTCCAAACTTTTGCTAAAAATTATTCGTCAATTTTGCTGTCCCATTTTCTTCTAATTTGTCATCTTCTTTCAATTCTTCATTTTCACATTTTTTCAAAATTGCTTCAGCCAATTTTTTAAATTCTTTGTGGACAATAACAGAATCTTCCAATTTTTCAAAAAATTTTCCAGCATTCCCCATATCCAAGCTCTTGCCAAGTTTTGGGTCCAAAGGTAGTGATGCCAACAATTCTAAATCTCCACCCAGTTCTTTACACATTCCCAAAGCACCACCAGTTGTTGAAGGGAAAAGTTGTGAATGAGTACAACAAGTTGGGCAGATAAATTCTGCCATGTTTTCGATGACACCAAGAACTGGTACTTTAGTTTTGATACAAAAGTTAACCTAAAAATAATCATTATTTTTAAATCAATAAAATGGAAAAAAGTGTTGGAAAAAATTTTATTTGGATTCTTTGAACATTTTCTAACCAAGCAGATGAGTCGTTATTCAAGCCTCCTCCTTCATCTACTGGAAAAATTGCCTATCATAAACCTTTCCCTCTTAACGTCCAAAAATATTTTTTAAAAAGAATCGATTTTGTCCTATAAAGGAAGAAAGCCTGAGTAACGACTTTGCTGTCTTATTAGAAAATGGTTTCTCTTCGATTCAAAGGGCAAAATATAACGACTGAAACATTGCAGACGTATATTTACAAACGCAAATTTGGAAAAATTAGGAAAGAAACAAGAAAAGAGACTTCTGAAAATATTTGAGACTTCTGAAACACCCGCCCCTGCTCCCGTATTTTATCTAAAAAATAAAAACCTCTTTTCGAACATCCAACAAAGAAATTTCTTGTGGTGTTGTAACAATTAAGGCTCCATCAAGTTGTGATGATTGCAAGAGAAGTTGAACGACAGAAATGTGTTCATCAGAAGTTCCAGGCGGAGTATCAATTAAAAGAAAGTCTACGTTGCCCCAATCAACATCACGAAGGAATTGTTTAATTAAGGCATTTTTGCGAGGACCACGCCAAATAATCTGTTTTAAATTTAGAAAATAATTTTAAAAATTTTGAAGATTATAAAAACTAGTTATAAAATACTCAAGTATTGCTAGGGTCTCGATCTAAAACAAAACCGAATCTAAAACTCCTTAATATTCCATCAAATATACTTTAATCAATTCAATACACAAGATACATATCAACTCTCATTAATCCTCAACAATTTTTCCGGTTGATGGTTCGGTCAACCGAAGAATTTGGTGAAACAGACAACCCGAAGATTACATTAATATAAAACATGTGAGGCAGGAGTAAAAACCATAAATCAACCGAAGCTAGCTCCAATAAGACAATCGGTCATAAAAATAAAGACCAACCACAAAATAAACAAGGAGGTACTACTGAAGAAAAGGGTGCTTTTTCTGCGGACTTATTTTGCGGACTTTTCCTTTCCTTTACATGTTTTACTTATAGCAACTAACTGTCAAAGGCCCTCCACCCTATTATTTGGTAATAGTGTCGTTTCCAGGCCCCATTTTTTGCTCCCCAATTTCTTACCCTATGTTTGTACGGAATGGTCAAATTTTCCCCTTTCTTTCATCAAATTTGCCTTTCCATATTTTGCCTAAAAACAATCAAAAAGCTTGGTGTTTCTCTCAATGCCCCTAATCATCCATACATCTTTCTTTGATGGTTGTCTGCCTCTTTCATATTTTCGTCTCACAACAACAGTCTTCCATTTTTATTAATTGGGAAAATGATTCTTCTCATTACTCTAATACTTTTTTAAATATCACAAATTAATCTTTTTAATTGTTTTTAGGCAAAATATGGAAAGGCAAATTTGATGAAAGAAAGGGGAAAATTTGACCATTCCGTACAAACATAGGGGAGAAAAATTGTGGAGAAAAAATGGGGCCTGGAAACGACACTATTACCTATTATTTTTCTTACCTAAGATTGTACATAAAGGTCAGCTTTTCTTCTTCCTCTCCTTCCTCTATTTGCCCTGTGGCAAATTCAAACAAGAGACATTGATAAAGAGAAGATTAATTTTATAGTCATACACTTATTTTTTGCCTCCGAAAACGATGTTAAACAAAAAAAGAATTAAATAAAATTGATTTAGTCTATAACATTATGAATTTCTGTGTAAAAACATTACATTCTTACTTATATTTAAAACTAATTTAACAACTTAAAAAAAATTCAACTCAATATTGAACAAGAGAGAGACCAACCACAAAATAAACAAGGAGGTACTACTGAAGAAAACATTAAAAAAGAAAGAAAGGAAAAGTCCGCAAAATAAGTCCGCAGAAAAAGCACCCTTTTCTTCAGTAGTACCAACAAGGATACCCATTTAAACGGTATATTCTATTTATTTTAATCCCCAAAATTTTAATAAATTTAAAAATAAATAAAACAAACCGCGTCATTCCTCGATTCAACCAAAAAAGAAATACTCATCACAAAAAGATTGTCTTTCACGAAAACGGGTGCCCATCCTAAAGAAGATAAGAATTAATAAAAATCCAAAAAACAAAAAAAACCTTCTTCACTACTATGAACGCTTTCATTCTCACAGCCAAACATTCGAGCTTGTGAAGGTCCACAAATGTCTATATCGAGGACGCCAACCTTAAAAATAGGTAAAACGTAAAATTTCAGAGACATTCCAAAGAGCCCGTGGAGCTGAGAGGAGACAAAACACCCAATCAGCTCGACATCCCGGTCGAATTACATACAATTCGACCAGACTGGCGTCAGAGTATTACACCAAAATTTTTCCGAAAATCTTGAAATAAATTCTAAAATATTAAACAAACATTTAAAGGCTTTCCATCATTCCCAGTCAAATTGGACATTACATAAGCCAAACTAGTTGTTACAGAACTTTTGCCAACGCCACCTTTTCCACTCAATACAAGAATCTAGAAGAGTTTGAAAATAATTTTAAAAATCTCCTGATCATTTTTCTAGGGTATTATGACTTATTGGGGAGTTTTGTTTACTGATGATCTAGCTGGGTCTGGACCAAGGTCTGGGTTTTCCTGTATCCAGAGTCCAGGCTCGGGCACTTTTTGACTTTCCTGGTCTAGGTTTTTCCTGGACTACAGACGCAGGATCTAGCCCAGGTCAGTAAATCAAACCCGGAACCCGGGAACAGGCCCAGGCTTTTCAAAAATTTCGATCACTATTGTTTACCAGTCCAAAAATGCCCGAGCTTCTTCAATTTACCCATAACTCAACCCCCACCATTTGTAAACAAAAAACCCTTGTATAAGCCATAATATCCCTGTTCTCTTACTTTATGTTTAACAAAAGCCATCCTTTCTTTAATTAAATCAATGTCTGGATCAATTTGTGGAACACCAGTTGAACAAGCCTTTTGATTTGGACACCCAGCACATGCTGATGTTTTGCCTGCTTTTTCGCTTTGAGTGCCGGGACAGCTTTCTGGAGCGTTTTCTGGTACATCAGTCATTGTTTTGAACAAAATTTTGGAAAAATGGAGAGAAATTGAAAATAATTTGTTGAAAAACTTTTTTGGAAAATTTTCTAAAGTAAAAATAGTGCAGAAAAAATAGAGAAAAAAAGGAAAATCTGGCTTGGGATTAATTGTCATTTTAAAAACAAAACGCCAAATCAGTAGACAAAATAAACATTTTTAAATAATTTAAGTAACAGTGAGCTTTTAGGCGCTGGTTTCTAGTAGTGTACGGCGCGAGCTGGACCTGGACAGATTTTCCGGGATATATCCGGCAAGCGAACAATCCAAAATTTAATTTCTGACTTAACAGAATTCCCTGAGAATTTTTTATTACCTTAAATAGCATTAAGGTTATGGGGTGATAAAAAAATTGGCTCTTGTTCAGATTGAGTGTTCAATCTCACCTTTACGCGTCCAATCAAATTTTTATGCGTTCAGTTAACCTTTAAGCGTCCAATAAAAAGTTTATGCTTTCGATCGTACTTTTTCGCGTCCTTGTTCGTCAGTTTAGTATCAAAAAATCTATGGAATTATAAAGCTCTACTCGCACAGAGGTACGGTACACACGCATGATACCGGTTCATGGGTTCTAACACGCAGAACCGGGTACTTATTGCCATTGAATGAACGCATAAAAATATGATCAGACGTATAAACTTTTCATTGGACGCGTAATCTGGACAAGAGCCAAGTTTTACGAGGCTCTTTTCCCAAAAAAGTGAAAATCACTTAAATCGCTAAAATCATAAAATATAGACAGGTAAACAAAAAAGCTTTAATTTATTTTTAAAGAACTATTTTTGGGGGTTTATTGTTAGTATTTTCGCTTTTAATATCAATAGATTAAATATTTGCACAAGACGTTTAATTTTACATATTTATTAAATTTTAGTGCAAAAATGACATTTTTTTCAGAATTTTTTCAGAACTTCAAAATTTTTTCAAGCGAAACGAAACAAAATTTTTTAAAAATCGTTTTATTAGACGAAACTAAACTTCTCGTGCATGTCTGATTGAGAGTCAATTTTGAAAAAAAAAATTTTAAATTAATTTTTAACTTCTCAGGATCCTGTCGATACATATAAAAAATAACTTCTCAATTTTCGGGAATCCCCAAAGAATCTAATTTAATTTAGATTTTTAAAAATTTTGTTAGTTAATAAATTTGAAATGAATTTTTAACTTCGAAAATGGTTAATTCTCATTTCAGTTACTCTTGCCCCTATCTTTATGTATAGGGACTGTATTTAAAGTTGCCATTCTCGAGTTGAGCCGACGTTCGGTACATTTTTTCGAGCTTGGATTTTCGAGTCGAGTCGTTTCGAGTTTTTCGAGTCGAGTTATTCGAATCTTTTTTGTTCTAAACAGCTTTAGCTCACTCGACCCCCATTTATATGGCTCAATCCTCCAAAATTTAATTCCCTTATAATTGTTGGAAAACAAAAAAAAATTTTTTTTTGATTTTTGTTATAGGCTGTCATCAGCCCTATTACTTACTAAACTATTAAAAATATATTTAATATTTTCATATTTTTCATCAAAAATGGACGATATTTTAACATCTTTAATTGATTCTGAACCAACTAGCAGAAGAAAATTTGAAAGGTAAAGAATTTGGTTAAGTGGGAAGTGTTTGGGTTTTGGGTGGGGGTATAGCAAGGTTCGAACCCTTTTGGGGTAAAACATTTTTTATTTTAATTTAAAATATTTTAAATAATTTTTGAAAAAGTTTTAATGAAATTAAAAATATTTTTTTGAGTTTATAGGCAATAAAAATGTTAAAATAGATAGAGGGAAAAATAAAGATTACTACATATTTTAGGGTAGGTAATCTACCTAATTTAATTTTTTAAGAAGACTAAAAATAATTTATGCATATTTTCATTTAATATTTTTTGCAAAAAATTCTATGGGAAATTTTTCTAAAAAATTTGCAGATTAATTTCTGGAAAAAAACCAAACAAAAAATTCGAAAAAAAATTTAAATAAAATTTTCCCTTCTTTTCAACTGTCTAAAAATCAGACAATATTTTTATGCTTATTTTCTTAAATACTACATATATTTTACAAAAAAATTTTAAAAATTTTTTAAAAAATTTTTCGCAAAAATTTTAATTTTTTTAAATTTTCAAAAAAGAATTTCGAAAAAATTTTTTTAATTTTCAAAATTTTTTTCTAAAATTAATTTTCCCCTTCTTTTTCAAGTGTCCAATCTCGTTATCAACGCTTACACGTTCCCCTAAAAGATGTTGAATGGAATGTTTGTGAATATTGTGGGGAAATTGTCCACCGAATGGTTTTCGAACGTCATGTTTGTATTTTTTTTAATTTTGAAAAAAATTCTAAAAAAATTTTTCAAGTTAATTTTGCATGAAATGGCTGATGTAACTTATCAACTTTATCATCACGAAATTGATGTTGAAAAAAAACGAGTAGAGCAAGTTAAAAGGATTCAAGTATGATTTTATTTAAGTTTAATTAGGCCTATAAGCTCTTTTTTAATTTTTCGGTGAGGTTTCTCGGTGGTGTAGTGGTTATTGTGCTAGGTTTTTACTAGGTAAATGTGGGTGGTTCGACTACAAACTTTAGACAATATTTTTATAAGTACGGCTAAAAGTTTACAATTTATTTAAAGTGAATTTAAATATTTTTTAAGAATAAAATTAATTTTTATTTACAGAATCCTGATGATTTTTTTAGATTTTTTTTCTTTGTATTTGATAAAATGACCCATTGGAAAAATCTTTTAGGCATTTTAGGGGTAAAATATTTTCAGACCATAAAATTAAAATTTTTTTCTGAATGCTTTTCTTTGGTAAAATGGATAGTATTTTGGATTTTAAACAGTAAGGGTGGTTGACCAATTCCACATTATAAACATTTTTTTAGTTTAGAAATTACTTTAAAATTATTTTTTCACTCTTAAAAATTTTTTTAAATTAATTTTTCTATTTATTTTTAACTTTAATTCTTGATATTTTTTTCTATATTTTTTATAAATCTTCAAATTAATTTTTAACAAAAAATTCTTTTCAGGCTAAGGAAACAAAAGAAAAACGTCGCAATCTAGGCTTAGAGCTCTCCTCTTGTTCCTCCTCTTCTTCATTGCCTTCCTCTTCTGAAGATAATTCTGGTTTTGAAACAGAATCATCATCATCTACAACAGCTTCAAATTCTTTAATTTATCCAGACAATATTAATTTTAATAAAAACGAAGAAAATGGGAAAGAAAAGAGAAAATCACCGATGACGTTGGATTGGGTTATGGAAGAATTGATAAATGAAAAAGAGAGGAAAAAGCAGAAGAAAATGAAGCAAACAGAAGATGAATTTGGGTAAAAAAAATTTTTAGACTTAAAAAACTTCGGAAAAAAATTTTTAGATTAAAAATTTTTTTTGCGGACGTCTGCAAATATTTTGCGGACATGTCCGCAAAAATTTTTTTTATTTTTTTAAATTTCATTCAGACATCCTAAATTTATTTAAAAAATGTACTTTTGCATTATCTCCCCCACAACGTCCATGTTTGTCCGCAAACTTACCTTCCTTCTTTCCTCTTAAATTGATTAAAGAATGGTCAAAGATTAATTTAAACAAGGCAAGGCAGTCAAAATGCGACAGGCGTCATTTTGCAGATTAATGAATATTTTTTTTTACTTTTTCAACTGAAAAAGCTGCAATTAACTTATCTTTTACAATCTTGTCCATCAACAAGGAAAGCAAAAAAGAGGTCGATGTGGATATATTTATTGACTACCTTTTGCATATTGACTGCACTATTTAAATTAATCTTTGATCATTTTTTAATTTTTATAAAAGGAGAGGAAAGAAAGAGAAGGTAACTTTGTGGATTAACATTTGTGGACGTTGTGGGGGAGATAATGCGAAAGTATTTTAAAAATTCTGGTCAAACTCGTAAAAATTCTGGCTGGTTAAAATTTCGGTTCTAAAAAAATTTTGGTCAAAAATTGTTCAAATTACTCTAGTAAAAAATGTCGATTTTCTGTATTTATTTGGCCATAACTTTTTAGATAATTAACCAAAAAATCTGAATTTTTTAGAAAATCTAGTTAACACTATTACCTATAACCAGAGAGAGTTTTTTTAGGTTCAAAAAACCTGATAATAGGTACCTAAAAGGTTCGAAAAAAAGGCTTAAATAGGTTGAAAAAATCCAAAAAGTGGCAAAATAGGTACGAATTTTAACAAATAGGTTCGAATTTTTAGAGTTTTTCCGATTTTTTGTTTTCAATTTACGATTTTTCAATATTTACGAGCCTGTAATTCGGTCCTGCCAAGTCAGAATGTGCTGATTTTGGTGTCATTCGACTCTACTCGAGCAGCTCTTTCGAAAGAGCTATCATTCGAAAATCGAATTTTTCATCCCAAGGATTGCATACACCCCTATGTTTTTTCGATTTTCAGGGACCTGTAACTCGGGCTTATGAAGTCAAATCGCGTTGATTTTATTGTCATTTGTCTCAACTCGGCGAGTTCTTTCGAATGAGACAATTTGACAATTCCCTTTCAAAAATCAAGGATTTTGCACGTTTTTGGCATCGTTAACTCTTTTTGACAATTTATGGGGTTTTGGCAAGATAAGGTTTTTCAATATATGCTTTTTTGCTCCTTTTGAGAAGAAAAAGGGCACGGAATTTGCGTGAATATGACTTTAACACACTAGCATTCACTATTTTTTTAAAAATTTTATGCCAATTTTGCAAAAATAAGGGCGATTTTTATGATTTTCTTCAAAAAACCTAGAATAGGTTCAAAAAAGTCCAAAATAGGTCGCAAATAGGTTTTAGGTCCAAAAAGGCCGAAATAGGTTTTTTAGGTTCGAATAGGTCCAATGTAGACTCATTATTTCGACCCAAAACAGTGTTTTTTGTGCTTATCTCATCATAACTAGTTCGCAAAAAAATAGGTAAAAACCTAAAAAAACTCTCTCTGCCTATAACTGTACAAATTTTCACATTTTTATCTCTATTTTCGACAGAACGTTAATTTAACTAAAAACAGTTAACAACCTCTCCTAAAAATTTTATTTTAAGTTTTGACTATTTTGATCAACAACAAACAAGTTTAGCTGCTTATATAGAACTTGAAGATGAATTTAATAATTATGAAAAAAATTCTGGGAAATTAAAAAACAAAAAATCAAAAGAACAAAAATTAACAAAAACAACAAATATTTCAATTAAAAAGAGACCACCCAAAAAAGTAATAAAAATTAAAAAAGAAATTGTAGAAGAAATTCCAATAGAAGAGGAAGTTGATGAAGAAACAGCTTTACTTGAAGATTATGAACATTTGTTGTGTTTGAATAATTTGGGACGGAGATATGAATATGGTGAGAGGAAAGGGAAAATGTGTTTTTAAATTAATAAAAGAAAATACAAACCGGAAAAGAAAAAAATACAAATCAGAACGTTAAATACAAACTTGAAAAATACATGAAAAATACAAAATACAAACCGGAAGAATATTAAAATACAAACCTGAAAGGGGCGTGAGAAAATACAGAATAATTACAAACCAGAAAATTAAAAATACAAATCAGAAAAATAAAACACAAAAAAATTACAGGAAAATACAAACCAGAATTTAAAATAAAAAAAAATCAGAAATTAAAATACAATTTGTAAATAAATTACAAATCAGAAATTCAGAAACTTTTTTGTGTTTTTTCCGGAAAAACAAAAATACATTTATATTCTGATTTTTGTATTTTTGTAAAATACAATTTGTAAATAAATCACAAATCAGAACATTATTCTGAAACCTTGTGTTTCGCAAATAAAGTTTCCGGAAAAACACAAATACATTTATATTCTGATTTTTGTATTTTCTAGTAAATATTCTGATTTTTTGTATTTTTGTAAAATACAATTATCAGAATTATTGCCATTAAAAATACATTTATTTAATATTCTGATATTTTTTTATTCAAGTTTGTGTTGATTTACGAAGTTGCAAATACTTTGACCGGAAAGGAAATATTAATGTAGCCAATGTATTGAGACAGTCTCCTTCACCGACTAAATCTGTTAGAAGGTCTACAAGGAGGAGTGGGGGTGAGAGAAATAATTTATTTCTTATTTAATTTTTTAAATTTTTAGTTGAACAAGAATTAATTCGTTTGGTTTGAAATTTTTTAATTTTACAAAAATTTGTTTATTTTTGACAAAATGAGACTTACTACACAATTTTATTTATTATAAAAATTGTTTTGTTGAATTTTTTAAAGAAAATTTATTTTTTTGGCAATATTTTTTTTAAATTAATTTTTTCTGTTTTTCAGAATTTAAAAATTTTTTTACAAGAAATTTTTTTATTGCCAAAAAAACCTTTTATTTATCGTTTAACACCAGTATTGCCTTTATTCTCCTACTAAAAATATGGTTTATTTAATTTTGTATTCATAGAATTTTATTTTATAATAAAATTGGTAAAACTTTTATTGGCATTTTTTATTCCGAATTTTATAATTATTTGAAAGAAGATTCTATTCTGGATTTCCCTCTTATTTTTGTTGTGAATATTTTCTATAAGATCATAATACTATGTTTATATTTTCTGGAATGGAATTAACTATTCATGGTTATAATTGTTTCCGGAAAAACAATGGTACCCACTTCCGGTATATGTATTTTCCGGAAACAAATATATTTTGAAACTGAATGTATTTTCCGGAAAATTTATATAATAGTTCCGGAAATATAAATATGTATCCGTTTCCGGAATATATACCGGAAATATTTCTGAAGTTGCCTATTTGTATTTTCCGGAATGTACTTTTCCGGAAATATTAATACTTATTTTTCCTGATTACTTCACTATTGCATTTCACTTTTATCCGGAAAATATATTTAGGTAGGTATTTATATTTTCCGGATCAGACAAAAACGAAATAGTATGTAATTTGGATAATTTATAATTAAAACAGAATCCGGTTAACAGAGGTTTAAAAAATTAAAAAAATCAGAATTTAGTAACATTATTATTATTTTCTTTCTCTACCCTTCTTATTTGCAATATTTGTCCAGGCAATAAATTTAAATAAATATTAGCCAATAAATTATCCATTGGAATTAATTTATTATTTTCTTCATTTTTATTGTCTTTAATAAATAAATATAATTCTTCTGTTATTTCTTCATTTAATCTTCTGAAACAAATTTGGCCAAGTAAAATAATTGCTTGGGCACAGGTTGTCCGTTGAGAGATGAAAATTGATTTGTAATTGGACTAAAAATAAATTATTTCTTTTGCAAAAATTTTTGATTTTTTATGGAAATTGAAAAGTTTTTCCAAAAATTTTAAAAAATTATGAAAACATTTTGCAAAATTTTTTAGTCAAAAATTTTGCCTGAGGGCATATTTCCCCATCATGTATGCGTACAAGTATAGCATTATTCTCCATGCCGAGAATGAACCTTTAAAAAAATTTTTAATTAAAAAAATATTTTTCATTAACCTAGACATTCCTTCAGGTTGACATTTTTGGAGTTCTAATGGATTTGAATTTCCATCTAATATTTATTTAAATTATTTTTTAATAGAAATTTTTTACCAAGTTGGATAATATTTCGCCTTATTTCCACCAAACCAACAGAATTGCGTGTTGATGTCCGTATTTCCATTAATAAATAAAAGAGATTTAAATCTCTCAATTGTAAACGTAATTTCTCCCAAACAAGAAGGCGAATAATCTTTTTTTAATTAAAAAATAAATTTTAGAAAATTTCAGAATTTTTGGTTTAATATTTTGAAAGTTAAGGATTTTAATCAGAATTAATATGAAAACACCTAAAAATAACAATTAATCAGAATTAAGAGAATAGAATCAGAATTCAATAGAAACAAGGTAAAATACATTTGTTGAGGAATAAATCAGAAATTCAGAATTAAAATAATTCAGAATTAAATCAGAATTTTAGAAAACAGAATTAAATAAAACTATTAAAAGGAGGCTAGAAACCAGAATAAAAAATCAGAGTTTTAAAATAAGAATTATTTAAAATCAGATTAAACAGAATTTTGAAAAACCAGAATTAAGATAATTTAAATTAAACCAGAAGAATTAAAACTTTAATTAAAATCAGAATTTTTAAAAAAAAGTTGAAAAACACAAAAACAAAAATTTTGAAAAAATTCAAGTTTAATTAATTAAAGTTTATTTAATCAGAATTATTTTTATTTTCACAAACTTACTTCATTTGTAGTTGTATTTTGTGAAATATAAAGAGTTTTGTAATCTGTGTCTGGTCTAACTTTATTTGTATAAATTCTTAAATGATGACGGAATTCCTTAAAATTTTTATTTTATTTTTTCAAATTTATTTTATGAAATACATTTAATTGTTGTAAATTATTTAAAAATGTTGGTGAGTGTTTATTGAAATTTAAAAGTTTAAATGATGGACTGGGGGAGGGGGAAGTGCTTATATTATTATTGCAGCAACAAGAACATTTAAGTTGTTTACATGGCAAAAGTAATTGCTTAAAAATTAAAATTGTTATCGAGAGATTTTTCGATATAACGATTGGTAATACTGAAGATTATAATGATGAAGATTGATAACACTACCCTTTTTATCTTTATTTTTACATTTTTTACCATTGGTAATCAAACGGATTAATTTTGGATATATGTAAGAGGAAAAAGTCACTTATCTAAAGCACATTAAAAATATTAATCCCCAGTTTAATAAAATTTTAAGCCCACCATTGAAAACATACACCCTGAAGACCTATTGACCTTAACGCACTCTAAATAACCACAACCTTTAAAAGGGAATTTCAAAAGGGAATAACGAGGGACGTGGAGGGATTGAGGGGATACCGATGGATTATACGTTATGTAGAACAGAGTAGTTATGCCCTCGATATTTCCAACGTTGCAGATATGCAGGGTTATCTGGCGTTATGAGTGTAGGCTGTCAGGGTCAATATTCCCCTATTCATATTTTTTACAAATCAACAAAGATTAAAATTTATTGAGAACGTTCACACGGATAAAAAAGTGAAACATGATGCCAAAAATTATAGAAAACATTTGAAATATCACCAAAACGTTCACGCCACAGGAATTCAGGATCGACGACATTACCTTAATTAGAAGTTAACACTAGACTATGCCTCCACCCCTGAAGACCTACTGATCCTGAAGACCTAAAACTTTTGAGAATTCCAAAAATATAGAGGGTGAAGGGATATATGCAGATGGAATTGTGTAATTGAAGGCTCTCTAAAAATATTCCTTTCAAAAGTTGTAGATTTTCGTAGTGTAGGTCTTCATGGACGACTTCCTAGACCATAACAGCAAATTACCTCTTCCTCCAATATGATTTCTAGCACAGAACATGGCACACACATTCTTGAAGGAATTCAACCACTTCTGAAGTGCATTTCGACCAATTCCGATCTCAAATTCCAAATCAGCATAATTACCTAATTGACGAGTCCACAAAAAAGAAAGATGAAAAATTTGTTTTATTGTTAGATGAGTTCCTTCAAAGAAAGTTCCAGTCAAGTAGCCTCGTTCTGCCCTACAATTCGTCATACTACAGCGCCAAGTTCCAAATCGAAGGCACTTTTTATGTTTAATAGTTGTTCGACCTCCACATTTATTACAGGTCCGTTTTTCATGAAGAAGCCCAAGTTCCTTGAGCCATGCATCGAAATCGTTGTCGTTTAAACGTAGTTTTTCATGAAGATGTGAAGATTTAAAATTTTTCAGTTGTTCCATAAGAATGTAATAAAAATAATAAGAACTAAATCATTACAAAAATTAAAAAAAACAGCTTTAGCTTTACATCTCACACATTAGCACACTAATGCTGAATTCTACCAGGTCGAATTCCATTTAGATATTAAAATTTTCTGGCTAGACTGACAGCTCGAATTCAGATCTGGGATCCGAAATAGAATTTGACCTGATATTCGGATTCAGCACGCCTAATTACCTACTGGAAAAGCACTTCTTCCCCATGTTTTCTAAGAAGATGAAAAAAAGTGAAAAAAGGTGTCCTTGTCACCTATGTATTGCAGAGTGAAATTAATTAGCAAACAAACTAAAAAGTATATAGAATAGTATCTATAAAAATTCAAAACAATAAACATTTTTGTTTATTTCTCTAACTACACACTATCTCATTTTAAATAAAAATTAACACAACGCCAAACACACCGCCAAAAAATTTTTAAATTCAAAGCGACAGTACATCCTTTTTGATAGCTTCTTAACAAAATGTTAATAAACAGATTTTTAATCACCAAAATTACATTTGTACGACAACATATTTTCAATTAATTCTTTTTTGATTACCAATGGCAATTAAAGGTCGAAATAATACAATCTTCAGTATTACCCAACGATTTTGTACATATTTATCGATACTCAAGTTAACTTCTGAACTCTACAAGTTACTCGATTTATTGGTTTTGGTTCTGGAATCGAAAAATAGATATTTAGGGTTCCGTTCCATCAAAAATTTAGGTTTCTGTCAAAAACACTACATAGTTTAGGGGTACAGCCCGAAATGTCGCGCGGCCATAATGTCGCCAAGCCATAACTTGCTAAACAATTTCTGGCCCTTATCAATTTTGGTATCAATCTCTTTAGCTCGATGGTAGGAATCGTTTAATACTAAATTTGGAAAGATTCGGAAATCTTAAAGCAAGTTATGGCTCGGCGACATTATGGCCGCGCGACATTTCGGGCGTGTCCCATAGTTTAGACCAAGTAAGTCCTTTCTATTAGAGAGTATTTTTAAAAATAAAAAAACCTCTTTTTTATCTTCCTCTTCATCAAACGAAAATGAAGAGAAATAACGACTATTTCTCTTAAAATTTGAAGAATTCGAAAAATTAGAGGAAGAGGAACAGGCAGAAGGAATTGAAGAAAGTGAAGGGGAATTACTTGAAATTAAAGTTGTTGTTTTTGTTGTTGGTGGTTGTTTTGAAAGGGAGGAGGAAGAAGAAGAATTTATTTGGAATTTTAACATTTTTTAATTAAAAATATTTTCTAAATTAAAATTTTTGGCAAAAGTTTTGGCCAAATTTGTTAATAACAGGATTGTTAATACGTCACACTTTAAGGAAAAACTGCACTGACAGTGTGAATCAGATTGACGTCGGGTAGTGAGTCAAATAAGGCTAACATAAGAACACTCTTAGGCTGAGCTGACGTATAAATAAAACAGGTGTTACTGGGAAGTCGTATTAAAGAGATTCGACCTTAATGCTAGGCCCAATCTTTTAAATATTACACAATATGGTTTTACCTAATTTTAAAAATTGGATTGATTTTAAAATGAATTTTGACGCTTTTCAGGTTCAGCCAGAAAAATGAACGGGTTTCAGTGTATAGGCTTCGGAACAGGGTTAATCCCGCAATATCTTAGAGAATATTTCCAGACTGGTCTCGAATGGCAAAGTAACATTCCTCCATTAACCTTAAAAACAGAGGAGGGGTTTTAATGTATTTAATAGTAGAGGAATAAGTTTTATTGAAAGGGGGGGGGGAGTAAGGAGATTTAATTAAATATATTATTGGGGAGATTAAAAGAAGAAAAAAAGGATTATATTTTCAAGTTCACCACCACAAAGATTTATTAATAGGGACGGAAATGAAACTTTTGGTCTCTAAAAAAGATGAAAATTAATGTTTTTATATATTGAACGGTGTTTTTGTTGGTCAAAATCTTACTTTTTGTGGTTAAAAATAGAAAAATTAAAAATAATTAAAGGGAGTATAGAATTTTAAAGAAATATGGACATTAAATTACTTAAAATATTTCCAAAAAATGTTATTAATCCCGTAAATCCTAATGGCTGAGTGCTAAGGCATTTGGCACGTTAAACGATTATTTTGGCGCACAGCCCTGGAAAGCATCGTATTAATTCCGGGAAAATCATTATTTTCCGTAAAACATTATTATTACTTTTTATTATAATTTCAAGAATTTTCCGGAATTTTTATTATTTTTATAGAGTCAATAAAACATTTTCATTAAAAAAATATTTAAAAAAAATTTATAAATGAAAAATAAAATACGGACGGATCTCAATTTTATGCCATCTCCCACTTGTACGACACTCAATTAACGATAGATTTTTTTCCGGCCCTAAAGTGACAAACGAGCAAAATCCGATGCCATTTGTACTGACTTTCAACATCAAATTTGACTGCAAAAGGGGGTCGTAAAAGTAAGATTCCGTCTGTATTATGTGTTTTAAAATAATTAAATTTTTAAGATAAAATAATTTCTTTCAAAAAAATAAATGAAAAAAATAAATGAAAGAAAAAGCAATTGAAGGAGGCAAAAAAGGATTTTAAAAAGTAAGGAAAAAATATAAAAAAAAGGAATTATGCTTATTAATAAATATAAGTATATGGAGGGGGGGGGCATTATGTGTGTGTTTCTCCTTCAACATATAAAGGAGAACATTCCTTTCTCCTCCATTCAAAAACACACAAGTTTTTGGTTGTGTTGATGTTGTCACTCATTCAGTTAAAAATCTAGATTTTATATAAAAAGAGAGGGGGGAATATTTAAAAGAAAAAATGAAAAAAAAGGAAAAATATGCCAGAATTAACGGAGGAAAATTAATGAGGAATAAAATGGAGGAATGAAGGGAGGGAATGAAATAAACAGAAAATATAAAAAGTTTTTGATTTATAAACTAATCCTTAAATATTGATTGATTAATTAAAACAAATGTAAAACATAACCAAAAATATTTTCCAGAGAAACACAATTTTAAAAACATTTACCTGAAAACACATTCCGGAAGAACAATTTTAATAAAATCTTCCGGAAAGCTAAAAACATTTTCATAAAAACACAATTTTCTGAAAACATTTTAGAATAAATATCTTCCGGAAAACACAAAATATTTGAATAATTTCTCCCACTCTGAAAACCCGGAAATAATGCCCTTGTATATACCTGGGGCCAATAACAATAACGGAGACAATCGACAAACGATAGATATATTACAAATTTGTCGTTTATCGTCTATAATATATCGAATGTCGTCTGAATATGTCAGCTGACGATATTATGGAAATTATCGTTTATCAATTGTCATTTGTCATTTAGCGTTTACCTCCAATAAAAATTAAAGGAGACAAACGATATAATAGAAGAATTTCTTCTCTAGTCTTTTTATTCTTCGCGCCTCATGCATTCTTTTCTCAACTTTATAAAGAAATGTAAAGAAAACAGGGAGAGTGAAGAAACAGAATCGCTCACTCCTTTCCCCTCTTTTCCTTATACTCAAACACACCCGAGGACAGAAACTTTGACTGGCCATAAAGTGGCCCAAAGTCGTTTTGCAAAAAAACAAATATTATTTTGTAATAGGAAATCGTGGGTCCTCTATCGAATGGTACCAAAAAATATATCAAATTCGCAATCATTTAATCCCATCAATCCTACGATAACCCCTGAATTCTTAAAAATTATCCACCTCAAATAGGTTGATCTCAAATGCCCCGATATCCCCAAATTCCCTCTATATCTCTCTTAATCCCTGAATATTAAGAGATAGTGGGGATAAAGCGGGATTAAGGCATATCTGTGGATATAAAAGTTAAGGCGATCCGAAATCCATAAACCCTTTGATATTCCCCTTGATCCCAATTAATCCTTTTGATTCGATCTATACTTGAATCACTCCAAATATATCAATATCCCTCCTAATTCACCAATATTCCCCTTAATCCACCGATATCCCCTTAATCCCTCCAATTTTTATACCATTAGATAGAGGAGAATGTTTTACATGCTATAAGTAAAAATCAGAATTTTAGCTTTACTTCCCTAATAGTTATAAAATCTATAAGATGCTTAATCAAAAATTAAAGTCCTATTTGAGAGAATGAGTCCCTATTTCTCTCAAAAATGGATGTACCTTACGCGAGAGCCTCTAGTAAATTTATTTTTAAAGTAAAATTTTTGGAACTTATATCAAAAGATAGAGCACATTCTAATCTATCTAAAAATATTTTATTTGAAATTTTTAGGTTGAATTTGGATTTTAAAAAAAATTTTTAAATTTCAAACGATAAATTTGGGGGACAGGTTTGAGGGTTCCGTGACTTTTGCGCCGAGAACATTTGCGCCGCGACTTATGCGCCGCGACTTTTGCGCCGAGACTTATGCGCCTAGCGACTTTTGCGCCGGGGGACTTTTGCGCCGCGACTTTTGCGCTGGGCGACGTTTGCGCCGCGACTTTTGCGCCGGACGACTTTTGCGCCGCCACTATCATTAATAATTATGAAAAACTACACCGGACCTCACTATAGAAGATGTAGGATAGTTGGAGATCTTCGGATATCAAGATCCGGATCCGATATCCGACAAACTTTTCGGCTATCCGGCCATTTCAGATCCGGATATCTGGACACGACAACCCTACACTATAGTACCCTATTCTGGCAGAAAATCATGTCTGAATAGGGGTAGCAAACCAAATATCCTGATTTGAAACAGTCAAATTCTTTGAAGATGACCCCTCTAGGGGGTCGGTTTATTTTTCAACCTTCCTCTAGGGGATCGGTTTATTAAAGGGGGTTATAGTACTTCCCGAAATATTGTACTTCCTGAAATTCCTTCAGCTCCTGGATATCATTTTTTAAGGAGTACACCATAATTAGGTCCGATTGTAGATATAATTTTTTTTAAATTATGGCGGCGCAAATGTCGCGGCGCATAAGTCGCCCGGCGCATAAATCGCGGCGCAAAAGTCGCGGCGCAAAAGTCGCCCGGCGCATAAGTCGCGGCGCAAAAGTCGCGGCGCAAATGTTCTCGGCGCAAAAGTCGTGATACCGGTTTGAGCATCCACTAAATTTGTCGTTCAAAAACCGTAGTTTTTCTCTAGTTACCGTAATAAATTATCGTTTGCAACGACAAACGACTAATTTCGGACGACAAACGACAAATCTCGACTACAGTCGATATAATAGAGACGATAAACGACAAACGATAAAGATATTTATTGTTATTCGAGGTAATCGACAAACGACGTATCCGAACGACAAACGTGAAAAATATATCTATCGTTTGTCGATTGTCTCCGTTATTGTTATTGGCCCCTGAACCCTCTTTGTCGTTTTGCCTATTTTTTCCATTGTCTATGAAAAAGATAAAAAAGATAAATTTCGTTATAATAAATATGAGAATTGTAAAAAAAAGGAAGAAATATTTAGAATAAACAAAAATAATAAAATATTTCCAAAAAAATTATCATTATAAAAATTTCTTTTAATAATATGAGCATATTTCTATATAAAACGCTGATTCATTTTAGTTCATAAATTCAATAAATAAATTATATATTTATTTTCACAGTTCAGTTTTAAGATGATTTTGCTACAAACTAGTGTTGAACTACGTCCACGGGACGATGGTTCACTTGTGAGTTTGTAGCTCTCCTCCCGGAGCTAACATCCGAGGCTAAACCACCACAACCTCCGTACCATTTCCTTCGTTCCCGCGGGTATCTAAATGGGAAAATTTAACTATTTATTGCAATTTATTTTTGGGTTTTTGTCCTAATTAAGAATTTTTCCAAAAAATGAACAAAATGATGATTCAGAACATTTAAAAATTAATAATTTATGTAAATGAAAAAGTAATAAAAAAACAAAATTAATTAAAGCTACATAGCGTTTAGTAAGCATAGCATCCGAAACTTATTTAATTTTTTTTAAAAAATGTCAATTAAAAATTGTTTATTTTAAAAAATTGTTCATTTAGATTGAAAAAAACTAAATTAAAATGAGTAAAATCAATCAAAAAAAAGTTTTCAATAAAATTCTTTAAGAATTAAATGTTTTGAAATATTATATTTAAACGGCTTAGTTTTCAAATCATTTCCAAAATTTGCTTCTACAGAACAACATTGCAGAAGACCATATGGTTTGTATGACTCAGAATTTTCCTTTAATAATATACCCTTGCCTTTAAAAGAAAATTCTTTTTAAATATTTTAATTAA